TCGAATCCAATCCAAACATACAAAAATCATACTTAAATATTGATCCAATAACCATACAAAATTCTTAGACATAAACAAAAGATCAAATAGTTACTTAAATAATTAAATAGCCCAAATCCAATCCAAAAGCAATTGACCTATTTATGAATCAATTAACCAAAAACACACCAGGCATGGACCTTGCCCAAGGTAGACTGGGCAATGGCCTAGGCCTCAAAATTTTAAGGGGCCTCATAAAATTTTTTTGGCCCAAAACATAACTCATCAAAAACCCATCCAATGTTTCATAAAAACATTGCTTTTTGAGGGTTGGAAGAAGACCGGACGAGAGGGTGAAACTTTGATTTATTGAATTCAAATCATCAATTCCATTGGATCAACATTGTCGGAGGAGCCCAAGAAGGAAGAGGACAGCCACCGAAGAAGAACAGAGGCAAGAAGTAAGAAAATAATCCGTTTAAAATTTTATATCTATTCCTTCCAGTTTAAAGTAACGATTCAATCAAGTTCTAGGTCTCAGAGGTTACTATTTTGAGGGAATTCAAAAGTTCAGAAACAACCATTGTGTTTATGATGATTAATTGCTCTTTCATCTGTGACACAATATTTATATAAGTAAGAGCTTGTTTTCTACAATCTACTTTGGTTCATTTTTTATTTCTTTTTGTAAGTTTCAATCATGTGAAAGTGCATTGCTAGCTCTTACAATGTTGGCTGAAGATTGAAGATAAATCCATTTTGGCATAATAAATTAGGTACAAATTGGGTTTGTAATATTGTAAATTTTGAAATATTTCTGTGCTTGTTTTCCTTAATTTAAAATAGATTTCTTACTCACTCCAGAATCTATGAATTTGTAAAGTTGAAGCAAATTTATTATTGTGTTGCGTACCCAATTGGTCAAAATTTAATGTAAAATCTCTAATTAAATGGTCGATGATTCTTTTCTCCCTTCAACATTTTCTTATCATTTAGCAAAGGCAAAAGGGATATTTTGATTTTTGTTTGCTGGATTAAGATTCTTATAAGGAGTAGAGTAGTAGTATAGATGAAGAGAGATTGATTACTGTAAATTTTGGGAAGGGAGAAAACTCATCATAGCTACTGACCAATAATTTAGCTTCACGAAAATTTTTTCTTTCATTTTTACACTGCTGAAGAGAAGGGCATGTATTTATGTAGTAGAAAAGAAGGCTAATTGTTGAGGGTAACCGAACATGTACAAAATTTAAGGGCCTCGTAATAATTAATCGTCTAGAGGATCTAAATTTTTAGGTCCGGCTCTGAAGCATACCCAGAGGCCACAACCCACAAAATGTAATCCCGACTACATACACCCCTCATTCTTCCCCAAATCTCTTCTCTGCGCGACAGGTGATTGAATTTCAGTATTGATTTGAATTAT